TGAATTCACATCTCTTATTGAGACCGTAAGGTTTTAAAGTGCATAACTGCGCACTCCAATATGCTTCTCTTGTCAACAATCGCTTCTCAATAGTGTTTGAATCACTGTCATTTACTATTTGTTCTATACCTATAAACTTCAAGTCAGACAAATCATGCGGTGTTTTGTTGAAATGCGTCGCTACTTCACATGTCCTTACGGCAATACATTGGTTCCACGAGCACAGAACTGAAGGTCCGCTTTCGTAACCACAAATCCACGATGATTAACAATAAAAGGACACGTGAAGTAGCGACGCATTTCAACAAAACACCGCATGATTTGTCTGACTTGAAGTTTATAGGTATAGAACAAATAGTAAATGACAGTGATTCAAACACTATTGAGAAGCGATTGTTGACAAGAGAAGCATATTGGAGTGCGCAGTTATGCACTTTAAAACCTTACGGTCTCAATAAGAGATGTGAATTCAGGTCGAAGAACAGAATAAACTTTAGTAATTAGAAACAATTTAATTATTTCGCAATAATAGGCCATATTTTTAAACATCCCTAGAGTATTCTCATTTAGTCCTTAATTAGTTCTTAATTATTCATAGGCTAGGTTATAAATCGCATGAGTTAACTTCCTTGTGTTTTTAACTTTTTACACTGATGAAGCCTGTTTTGGCGAAACGTTTGTAATAAAACATTATTATTGATCTGTCTGGAGTTCGCCTTTCCTTCTGTATACCTATCTATAATATTTTAAGCGTCGTGTATCCTTTGGATCCTCCAGACAAGTGACATCAACGTTGGCAAGCCAGACTATATCCATACCATATATATATATATGTATATATATATATATATGTATATATATATATATATATATATATATATATATATATATATATATATATATATATATATATATATATATATATATATATATATATATATGTAGTATTTATAAACCGAGTGAGAGGGCTTTATCGGTGCATATAGACGCGAGCCGAAGGCGAGCGGCTATTAACCTGAGTATCAGACTCTATTTTACAAATAGAGCCTGACACAAAACTTAACCTGATCGCTTTCCGCCCACAGCAAAGTTTATATTTAGTATCTAATCAAAATGTCGCAGGAGAAATTTAAATTTCACACAACGACAACAACAATCTAATTATAGCATAGGCGCCCACTAAACGGCTGAATTTAAATTAAAACTGCAATGAACTTATAAAATTAACAAAAATAATCACAAATTAGCGAAATATATTGCAAATGTAGCTTATATTAAATCGCCACCCGATTGCTCTCTCCTCCGCAGAGATTTCAATGACTACAATGAGCTTTACATGGCGCTTGCCGTATTTATCAACAAACAGTGACATATAATTATAAAGTATATATATATATATTAAGTATACTTTATAACTATACGTCAGTCGATAGTGCAATCTGATGGCGATTTAATATAAACTACATTTGCAATATATTTCGCTAATTTGCGATTATTTTCTAACTTTACTGCAGTTTTAATTTAAATTCAGCCGTTTAGTGGGCCGGCTATAATTGTAGTTGTGATCGTTATAAAATATATCAACAACAATAGTATAATCTAATTAGCACCAGCCAATCAAATGACAGATTTAAAAATCGTTTGTCTAATCGGCCAATCAGCGCTCAGTCCAGATTCTGGACTGAACAACCAGGCAAAATGCCACTTTTGTGTCAGGCCGTACTTTTCTCCCCTTCGCCCACGATCAGGCGTGCCTGTGCCCTAAAAGTACGGCCTGATACTCAGGTTAAGCGGCTATAGGCACCGATAAAGCCCAATCACTCGGTTTATAAATACTACTTCTAAAATTCACCTTTTGTTTTGGGTCCCAATGAAATAATAAGAAATGCTAACTGACAATAGTTCCATTGTTTTACGATTCTTCCCTTCATTGATCAGCAAGTAAATTAATGACTGGATTAATTATCAAGTCATACAAGTCGTTAAACCGAGTTTTCAAATGGACATTTGAACATATTTGACTTAATGTTTTGTTAATGAGTCGGTTTCGAATCGCTCGAACTGCTGAAGAGGAGCAAACGTTGCTCGAAAGATTGATGCCGCCAATTAAGTACAAGATACGCGACAAAGTGGGCTTTGACGATTTCTGATTCCTGGAGAGCTGCTAGAAAGGTTAAAGAAGTGAAGATCGACGATGGTGGTCATGAAACTGATGATATTGGCCCAAACCAGACATTAACTACATCGCTGGCGGAGATGAATGAAGCGTCTTTAGCATTTTAGTTGAGCAAGTTTGTTTGGTTTAAACAGTTTAAAGTGGTGTGTAATAAAAAACGAAAGGGTTGTTAATCCCGTGTTTAACAATTGTAACATTACCTTTAACTTTGGAAAATAAAGTATTTATTGATTTCTCGAATATTCGAGTTTTTATTAGGAAAAGATTAATAAACATTTTGTTAAAGAATGCTTTATAAAGGTACATGTACCTTTATCATAAAGGTACATGTGGTCTATATATGAATTTTAAATCAGCACACACCGATCTATATCACGGTATATATAGGGGTCATCATGTGACGAGATTTTAAGAAATTCATTGGCTAATTAGCTCATGAATTATTCATGAATTTTAGAAATATATATATATATATATATATATATATATATATATATATATATATATATATATATATATATATATATATATATATATATATATATATATATATATATATATATATATATATATATATATATATATATATATTTATATATATATGTATATATATATATATATATATATATATATATATACTGAAGACTATATTCAAAAAAATAGTCGATGAGTTGACGTAAGGTAGAAGAGCGCTCAATACCATAATAAGTAGAGCGGAATTAATTCAGTCAAGGTTTGAATGTTTGCGTCGCTACTCTGAGTTTCACGCTTTACGCGATCATCAGGCAACTGACAGATATTATTCAATATTCATAATAAATATAGGAACATCACCAAAACCTACAAATTGGCACAAGACGGAACAGTTGACAAAATTAACCACGAACTTAAAAATATTGCCAACGAATTAAACATCGGAAACCGCATGGAACCAGCAACCCAACCGCCGGCGTTTATTTCACTAAAAGATCACAAGGACGGCTTCGAAAACCATCCAAAGTGCCGATTGATAAACCCGGCGAAATCTGATCTCGGCAAAGTTAGCCGAACCATCTTGGACAAAATCAATGCTGAAATCCGCCGACAAACTTGTGCAAACCAGTGGAGAAACTCTGAGGACACAATCACTTGGTTTGACTCACTAACTAACAAGGACAGACTGTCTTTCCTATCTTTCGATATAGTCGAATTTTACCCGTCCATAACTGAAAGTCTACTCGACCGTGCAATCGCATGGAGCCAACAATTCATCGCAATTTCCGACAGCGATATCCGCATTGTGAAGCACGCGCGCAAATCCCTTCTTTTTGACAACCAACAAGCTTGGACGAAGAAGAACAACACCACCACGTTTGACGTGACCATGGGAAGTTTCGATGGCGCTGAGGTCTGCGAACTCGTCGGACTTTTCATTCTGAACACACTCGAGAAACGCTTTGGGAAAGACGTAGGCCTATACCGTGACGACGGCTTGGCTGCCCTCAGAACAACATCAGGCAGACTTGCGGACAAGGCGAGGAAAGAGTTGATCACCATTTTTGAGAGCTTTGGCCTCAGAATCACCACCCAGACAAACATCAAGTGCGTGAACTTCCTTGACCTGACGCTTGACCTATCAAACGGTAAATATAAACCATACCGAAACCCTAATGACGAACCACTGTACATAAACAGATTATCAAACCATCCACCTTCCATCACACGACAACTTCCACACTCAGTCAACAAACGCATTAACAAACTATCATGTGACGAAGAAGCATTCAACGCAGCAGCACCACGTTACAACAACGCTCTGAAGCAAAGCAACTTTGACGTTAACCTAACATACACACAAACTCAAAACAACACTAATAACTCCGATAAACGAAACAGACAACGAAACATTACATGGTACAACCCCCCTTATAGCAAGAACGTTAAGACCAATGTAGCACAGACATTCCTAAACCTAATTGACAAGCATTTTCCTCCCTCAAACAAACTGCACAAACTTTTCAACCGCCACACAGTCCGTGTTAGTTACAGTTGCATGACAAACATGAAAAATCTCATCCGTAAACATAATTGTAAAATACTCAACCGAAACACAAAACGAACGCCAACTGCTAGGGTAATACAATCATCCATACCAACGGTAATACCAACACCTACAAAAAACGACGCGCCAATGTGCAACTGCCAAAAACCCGCCAACTGTCCACTTAGTAAAAAATGTCTTACTGAGAGCATCGTATACAAAGCCGAAGTAACAACCAGCACTGCCAACAACCAGGAAAAGAAAATATACATTGGCATGACGGCGGGCGATTTCAAAACAAGATACCGCAATCACACTAAGTCTTTCCGACATGAGGAATACAAGAGCAACACCGAACTGTCCAAGTACGTCTGGAAACCGAAGTCAGAAAAAAGTCAGTATACAATAAAGTGGTCCATTATGAAGAAAGTCAAAGCATACAAACCAGGATCTAAACGGTGTAATTTATGCCTCGAGGAGAAACTACTTATTATGAAAGCGAAGAAAACTGAACGCCTGAACAAACGCTCTGACTTGTTTTCCAAATGTAGACATGTAACCAGATACCTGCTTAATCAAGTTGTAAAATGATAACCTATATTTGTTATGAATATTGAATAATATCTGTCAGTTGCCTGATGATCGCGTAAAGCGTGAAACTCAGAGTAGCGACGCAAACATTCAAACCTTGACTGAATTAATTCCGCTCTACTTATTATGGTATTGAGCGCTCTTCTACCTTACGTCAACTCATCGACTATTTTTTTTTGAATATAGTCTTCAGTATATATATATATATATATATATATATATATATATATATATATATATATATATATATATATATATATATATATATCTTTCACATAAAACTTTTTCCTGAATAGTTTTAACTTTTTTTGACCTGTACCGTTAGGATGAGGGCAAGGATTAGGGTTATTGTGCTATAAAGTTAATCAATAATTTATTCCAAGATCATTTATTCCTTTTTTAAATAACGTCGCTCGGGCGATGTTATTTAATTTTTATCTTATCTTATCTTATCTTATCTGGAAACCGCTGACATGATGCGATTGGACAATGGATCGGACGGAGGATGGAGATCGCAAAACCATGGACACTGTGGCCATAGCTATACAAAGAACGCCTGTGTTTAAATTGATTACTTGCATAAAGGACCACTGGATTTAACCCATTTGCAGCGTTTCTACTTGGAAGGAAATTTCCTTCCAGAAGCATATTTTGGTGGCTGGAATGAAATTTGGAAGGAAATAGCATTTGGAAGAAAATCAGAAGGAATTTTGTTTTCAAGAAAAAATGACTCAAAATAACATTTTTCGCCAAGAAAATTGAGAAATAAGTCGATTTTCGGGAAAGTTTATATAATTGTGCTATAGAAAATGGCAAAAATTCTATTAAGTTTATGAAAAGGTCCAAAATGTTCTAGGGAAGGACTCTCAGACCTCCCTTTTCATCCCTGAAGCTTTTGTTTCTTAACTAAGACGATCAAGAAAATTTTAGCAGAAAGGTGGGTTAAATCCTGAGTATATCCAAATATAGTTACTAATAAAATACGATAATGTGTTTCAGTGCTACATAAACGTATCAATTTTGATAGTTTGCAGCAGTAAAAATGTATCAAGTTTACAGGGAAGGAAATTTTGTGGGAAAAAAAATTTGAAGTGTTGGCTTTTGTGTTGGCTATGGCACAGGCTATGGTGTTGGGACGAAAATTATTTTTTCAGAGTGGAAACACCTGCGGCTCATTTTAGCCATATGATTTTAGCCATATGATTATAGCTCAGTGGTCATGTCCAGTGGCATGTCACATGTGATATCAACTCAAAGTCTCAAATGACAAATGTATCAACCTCAATTCGTGAATGGCGATAAGGCGATTTTAGTTGTTGTTCTGTTTCACAAATTAAATGCGGAATAAGTGTGTGAAATTAGCACGCCAGCGCGACAAGTAGGTGCCTTGTATTATTAATTATTATTAGTTATTTACCAATTACAAGCTCATTATTTTGCGGCTCACTAGTATGAGCTTGCAATCACCTT